ACTAAATGTTATTTAATATGTTAAGTTTATATGGATCCAAATGTGTATATGACATCTGTATGTTTAGTTTAATTTTAATATGAATTTATTCTTGCAGAGCATTGCTATATTCATACTAAACATGTGATTCATGCACATTGTACAGGTGCTAGAACAAAGCTGTTTACAACAATGCATAAGGAGGTGAACTTTGTATTTTTATTTTGAAATTTAAGTTCATATTCATTTCAAATCATTACTTATTGATTGACAAAAATGATCATTGGGGGTATGAGGATGTATTATTTATATTCTTCGTTTCAACGAAATCAAAACTTGGATTTTCCTTCCTTCATTAAATGAGTTACTCATGTACATATATTCATATTTTAACATCTTGGGTCTCAATGTATAACCATTGAACAAAACTAAAATGCCAAAAATAGTGAACATAAGAAAACCTATATGCGTTGAGTCATAACTGAACATACGAATAACACAGATAAATTTGATGTCTTGATTAGTGAAAAAAGCGAAAACATTTTATATATGTAGTTTTTCTACTTATTTTTATAGCTTTTTTTTGTTCTTGTTGCTTTTCCTTTTCCCTTAGGGAACATAGGACCTTCACATATCCTCGACAATTCTATCTTTTTTGCGAAATTTTTTTTAACTTTGGATCACGTCTTGCCGGATCCCTCTTATTGTGCCTTCACGGTTCTTCTCCAAGTTCTTCTTGGTCTGCCAAAGCTTCTTTCAATTGTGGATTCTACTCAATAATGTTGTTAGGCGCCTCAGAATGGCCAATGCATCTCCACTCTCTTCTTCTTATCTGGACTCATACTGCTTCTTGTTTTGTTATTAGCCATAATTCTTCGTTCATTATTCTTATGAACCAGAAGATACGGCATATAATTCTGAGACACTTGTTCAGGAACACTTGTAATTTATTTATGTTAACTTTTAACACAAGCCATGTGTTACTCCCGTAGAGAAACACAGGCTCGATGTTCATTAAATTTTCTGATTTTGTTTCTCTTGCCATTTGTGTCGATCTGAATACCAGCCGCAGCCTTCCGAATGCACTTCCAACCTTAGATATTCTGTACTCTATATCGCTATTGGTACACTACCCAACTACTGAAATTCTGCTACCTACTCAATCTAGGTATTTTGTAAGTGCATTGGCACCTGGTTCATTGATGGTGTATGGATGACTATATCATCCGCATACTCTGTACTCTGGAGTCTCTCAGAAAGGTGCCAGCCTATTCCTCACCTATGCGCCGCTATTTCTTTCATGTACTTATCGAGCACAGTGACGAACAGTAGTGGGGACAGAGAGCATCCTTGTCTAATTCTTGATGTTGTTATTGTTGGAGCGCTGAGTCCACCGTTATGTGATACTACTGTTTCTGCGTTTTCATATAGAGATCTTATAGCATTTACGACTTTACAGGAATTCTGTGTCTCCTTTGTGTAGCCCATATCACGCTGCGCTTGTTCGAAGTCTATGAATGTCGCGTACAACGGGCTGCTCCATTTTGCTGAATGCTCGATGATGACTCTCAAGTGGTTTACATGTTCTGTGCACCCGCGTCCTTGCCGAAAACCTGCTTGTTATTCTCTGATCTACGAAGCATTCTTTGCACCTATTCAGTTGTCCTTCAGTGGAGGTAGTTATCACGCCACTCTTGTTTCGCACTGGCTTGTTTGCGACTGTTCTTTTTTGATAGCATATTGATTTTTTGATATAGTGATCGTGCATCACGTCGGTCAGCAGCTTCTTGAGCCTCTTTTGCTATACTGTTATGGAACCTTCTTTTATCTCTTCTGGCCATCTTCTTAATACTTCTGCAAACATCTGTATGCCGGTTCGGTTCTGTCACTGGTAAATAATTGGAGCCTTATGCGTTTTTTTTTCTATGGCAGCCCATGTTTGTTCCGCAATCCATTTTTTCTTCTCCAGTTTTATGGTACCCAGCACCTTCAACTCGACTCGACGGTTAACACCGTGCATTTGTGTGTGTGTCATATTCCGCTCTCTGTTCAGCAAATTCTAAGCTACGGCCGACATCCTGATTCTTATATCAGCCGTAACAAGCATATGATCGCTCTGGGTATCCGTTCTTCTCCAGTTTTCATATACACGATTTGTTTTACCCATCTTCGACTGATACAAATGTAGTCTATTTGATTCTTAGTTCTGGAATCAGGAGAAACCATGTGCATTGATTTATGTGCAAATATTGTACCGTCTATAACCAAATCATGCTGTTTACGTGCGCCCTTCAATATTTTTCCATTGTTATTTCTTACACCCATATCATGGGCCGTGCCTTACTAAGTCCAGTAAGTTTGCAAGTGAATTTTTTTTATGTTTTCAAAAATATTCGAAATCGTAAAAATTCGTAATAGGGGCTCCTAGTTAAAACATAAAATAGTTAAAACATAAAATATTAAAAAAAATATTTAAAAAGATTAATTTTAAAAGTGTAGAGATAGCATGATTTCTATGTACACATAACTCACAATTAAGATCTTAAATAAAAGTTGTGTTTTCTTTCACTTCCAAAAGTTTTTTGAAAAAAAGTGCTTATTTCCGTCCGTCCGTTGATTTTTTGTTAACAAACCTTTTACACCCTTGAAGATAGAAAGCTGAAATTTTGTACGCATATACATCTTTACTAGAAACTTATTTCCGTAGAACAAAATTTTTACCTATCTCTCCCCCTCTAGAAGCCCCAAAACCCAAAAAATGGCCTTTTTTAACTATTTGTTACAATGAAACCATAAGCATTTTCGAAATTTTGCAAACACAGAAAGGCAGTGGCTTGCTTTCCCTAGCTCGGTATCCTATAGTTAAACTTTAAAAAAACAAAATGGCCGTTCAAATTTACCGTTATCTAAAGTCCTTTTTTTCCAAATTTTTGAGTTCGTTTTTCTTCTAGACCCCAGCCTGTAGAAACTTGAAATTTTAGGGGGCTTTTTAGACATTAACAGATAGTTCATTTTGTTAGAAGAAAATTTTTTTTCCATCTCTACCACCTCTCAAGTTATCGCCTCTTGAAATTTGTAAAATTTGAATTTTCGCACCTTATATTTCCGAAACCGCAAGCTTTTTCAAATTTCTATATAAACACAAGAAGCTAACGGTAAATTCCATGATATTAAAAAATATAATTGTTTTTCTTAACTCATACAATTAACCCTTAAAATCGAGCATTATGTTAACCCCACTTTATACTAGTTTTTGCTTTAGTTCAAGGACTGCATAAATCGTTCATCCTAAATATATGCAATCCTAAAAATAGTATCGTATATCAATGAAAATATTCTTAATAGTGTGGTAGATACACATAGACTGTATTTAAAAGCAGAATTTTCACTTGTTGAAGGGAAAAGTGCTACGATACAAATCATTGGTTTGACCCAACTTTATTTTTAAATTCCATTGATCGTATGTCTTTTTGTTTTTTTCAAAAAAAGAGTTTAGTATATCAAAAAATCTCACGATATTATGCACATTTTTTAAACAGCGTCTTTTTTAACTTCATTTCTTTTAAAACTTCAGAAATACATCTGACATTGATAAAAGTCGTTTAAATAGTTTGGCTAGTTCTGGTTGCTGTTATTAAGTTATTTGGCATAGTCGCGGAAATTATTGGGTTTTTATGTCTGAAAAAATCAATGAAATTTCTTGATTCCTTGTGGTAGCTGCTGTACAACTTCAGTAACACTGTAGTCATATATTAGAAACTCGTAACTCGCACATAGGAGAACAAATTCGTATGGGTATCACAAAGTTGACACGATCAACACTATTTTTCCTCATGTGAATAAATATGCCATAGCTGACTAGGAAACAGTCTATGACTTTAAGTTGTCGTATTACTATATTAATTTATGAAAAATTTCAGTATTGTGCGTTCAATGTATGGCCAAACTACTGTTGAAATTGTATCGCTGCTAACAGAAAATGCTAAGCAATCTCATTAACTTTTATCAAACACATTTGCCCTGCTAATATATTCGCTTGTGTGAAATTTCAATAACACAGCTTTTATAGTCTCTAAGATATAGTCAAATAAATAGGATTCTGGCATGGTCTTAGATATAGAGTTAAGTGTATGTTTTTGATCAGCGTCGAATTCTGAGTTGATTTAGCTTTGTCTGTCCGTCCGTCCCAACTATAACTCAAAATCTAATTGAGCTAAGTTCACCAAATTTTTCAAAAATGATTTATTGCAGTAAGTGCCAGAACTCTATTTAAATTGGACATGATCGGGGTACCGGTTCGAGTAGCTGCCATACAACTTCAAAATTTATTTAGCTATATCTCAGAAACTATAAAAGATGTGGTATTGAAATTTTACACAAACGAATGTATTAGCAGGGCCAATGTGTTTCATAAAAGTCGTTGACATTACTTGGCTCCTTCTTGCACCTGCCATACAACTTCAAAAGTTATTTGACTATTTTTCAGAAACTATTAAAGCTAAGGTATTGAAATTTCACACAAGGGAATTTTACTTACTCTAAGAAGTATGAATTCATCTTGTTATTTCTTGTAAAAAAATAGCCATTTCGATTTGAAGGTTGTTTATTCAAGTTCCTCTCTTAGCATTGAGACTTGTTAGATATAAAGACATTAAGTATGAGAAAAGCTAAAAGAAATATTTTGTTTTTCTTTTCTCCCATAGAAAAAAGCTTTTGACCGCTAAAAAAATTTTTTATTAACCTTTTTGCCATATCTTTTGCACATCTATATTGCATAGTGAGATCAGTTGTTAGTTAACTCATACGGCAATATAATTAAACTGCAATTCTAAGATTTCCTCTGAATTTATGCAAAATTAAGTGCTTATAAAGGTTCTATAGATCGATCCTTTACTTAGACCTAAAATGGTTTAAATATGAACTATAGACTTAAATTGTTAACGGGAAATGTTCCATTTTACAAACCATGTCTTTGATCGCCAAAAAATATTAAAATAAGTATATTTTATTTAATATTTTAGTGGGAATATCAAGTTGGTCCATGTTTGAGCATATCTGTAGCAGATGACTTATGGGTGTCGAGATATTTATTACATAGAATAGCGGAAGATTTTGGTGTAAGTACATATACAGAAACTAAGGTATTTAAATGATATTATTTTAAAATCAACAACAATTATACAAGTTTTTTCATATGTACAAAACTTCATAAAAAAATATCTTGGTTGTAGATTGTTGTAACATTGGATCCTAAACCGATTTCAGGTGATTGGAATGGGGCAGGTGCTCACACGAATTTCTCTACCAAGGTTATGAGGGAAGATGGTGGTATTAGGTAACTTTATTTTATTTAACTTATGAAACAGTATTTAAACTACAAGTTTTATTAATAAGTAGTGATAAATTAAGCAAGAAAAACCTCTAATTTTAAACTATAAAATTAATTCCTTTTTTATTCATTGTATTGGTACTATTTTTCTATACCTTCAGTATTCCAAATGTTAAAAAATTCTTATAATATGCTGAAAATAATAAATTTTGAAAATTAATCTATATCTGTTTGATTAATATAAAACTGAATATGAAAGTGAAATTTAATTTTTGCTTATGAGCAAAACTTTGTTAATACTTATTTCATTTAATTATATGAATAATTTCGTCATATTAATACAGGAAAATTACTAATGTAACGAGTGTTTTAAAGCATATCAGCAAAATTTGTAAAATTTTTCTCTGGAAGAATATGTGAAACATCGACGCTACAGGACTATTGGGAATTTGAAAGAGCTTTTATTTGCTATTATTATCCAATTTAAGAAAGGTATAAACGTTTCAAAAGAAACGTTTTTTAAAAAGTGTTCATTGATCATTTAGGAATTATAATTCAAAAACAGAAGCATTAAAAATTTTGAAAACTCGTTTTTTCTTTATTCTAATAACCTTACAACCAATTTTTCCAATATTTGGTTCAGACAATTTCATTTTTTTTGTCTTCCAGACATATCGAAAGTGCTATTGAAAAATTACGGAAAGTGCACGAAAAACACATAAAAGCGTACGATCCTCATGAAGGCAAAGATAATGAAAGACGGTTAACTGGAAAACATGAAACGAGTACTATACATACATTTAGTGCAGGAGTAGCACACAGAGGAGCATCTATTAGAATACCTAGAGGTGTATATGACGACGGAAAAGGCTATTTAGAAGACAGAAGGCCAAGCTCAAATTGTGATCCATATAGCGTAGTCGACGTTATATTAAGAACCGTTTGTTTAAATGAAGTTTAAATACTTATTACTATGTTACAATTTATAAATTTTTATATATATTCTTACGTAATTTAATTTATTTTAAATAAAAACTCGTTGGCATAAAAATTGCATTATTTTTAAATAACATATACAATGTCACAAGTTCTTCATATTTTGGTAAAAAACAAACTTTGAGAAAAAAAATCTAGCAAATTCGTTATAAAAACGATAATTAATTTTTTTTTATTTTCCTTATCAAATTTTCAATAGAACGCATGTAAATTTGTTTTTATACCTTGCACTTCGTGAAGGGCATATTCACTTTGGTATGGAGTTTGTCTTCTTGAAGGAGTCGTCTCCGGCATGGACATGTATATGTATTCTTGTCGGCATAAAACTCTGCGTTGATTTAGATATGTCCGTCCGCCCGTCGGTCGAGTCAAAAAGGTTTTTTTTTAATATTTCAAAAACTAAAAAAGATATTAATATCAAATTTTAAAGGTGTGTCCAATTATGTTCTATATATAATCTGAAAATTTTAATGGAGCGACTTCACTGGCACTTTAAATATTTGAAAAAATAAAAAAGTTAGATTCATGAAACTTGGCAGTCTTATGTCTAATTATAGATCCGATATATTTCTGAAGTTTTGATGGAATTCCTTGACAGGTACGAGTAATTGCTATACAACAATAAATGGTGCAGGCTATAATTCAATCGATTTATAAGACTGAAACGTCTTTAATCATCATATTACATCATATTTGGGCTCTAAAGCTACCATTATAAAATGTGCTTGTGTTTCGAGACTATTTCACGTTAATACTCAAGCTGCACTCTTGCTCAATAGTTTTTATTCATCCATTATCTATTCTAAAAAAAATAAAATTCAATACCGTCACTATATTTTTGAGCAGTGCTTATTCCACGCTTAAGCATGGAAAAGGTTCCTTACGTCGCATTCCCTTTTGTTATTTGCGAATGTAAATTCGAGTGATTTAAAATGCTTCATTTAAAACTCGGGCTACTTCAAGGGACGAATATGGAGATCCAGTGGTATCACAACTAGCTAATCTGGCTTAAGTGAATGCTTTGATAGCTACAACAATCTAACGTAACCTGATTTAATCTAAATTATATAATAAATACGCAGTTTTTTAAAAATCAAATCTCCTTTCCTTTTATTTGTGTATTTTCAAAATGAAATTTTTATTATTGAAATAATGTCACTTAATTCCCTTTATTTAAATTTTTATTCCCTTTTCTTATATTATTTTTTTTGTTATTATTATTATTTCACTATTTAGTACACAAATGGTCACTTAGAACTAAAGAACTTAAAAATTAACTAACCTTTCTTTCCCATTATTTTCAATTGTAATTAGATACCACGTTTGCAAAAGCGTTTGAATAATAATAATTTTTGTTCAGGTAATTTAAATAAGCAACGAGAAAAAAAATAGAGTTGACCTTGTCAACTCTGTGATACCCGTACGAATTTGTTATCCTATGTGCGAATAACTAATGTGCCATAACTAACTATGGGGCAGACTATGACTTTAAGTTGCCGTATTACTATATTAATTTATGCAAAATTTCAGTACTATGTGTTATTCAAAATACTGGTTGTGCCAAACTACTATTGATGTTGTATGGCAGCTACCAGAAAGAGCCAAGAAATTTTAGCGAATTTTATCAAGTACATCGGCCCTACTAATATATTCACTTGTGTGAAATCTCAATATCACAGCTTTTATAGTTTCTGAGATATAGTCAAATAACTTTTGAAGCCAAGTAATTTCAACGACTTTTATATGACACATTGGCCCTACTAATATATTTGTTTGTGTGAAATTTCAATACCATAGCTTTAATAGTTTCTGAAATATAGCCAAATAACTTTTGAAGTTGTATGGCAGGTACCAGAAGGAGCCAAGTAATTTCAACGACTTTTATGTGGCATATTGGCCCTACTAATATATTCATTTGTGTGAAATTTCAATACCATAACTTTTATAGTTTCTGAGATATAGCCAAATAAATTTTGAAGTTGTATGGCAGCTACCCGAACCGGTACCCCGATCATGTCCAATTTAAATAGGGTTCTGGCACTTACTACAATAAATCAATTGTGAAAATTTGGTGAACTTAGCTCAATTAGTTTTTGAGTTATCGTTGGGACGGACGGACGGACGGACGGACGGACGGACAGACAAAGCTAAATCAACTCAGAATTTGACGCTGATCATAAACATACACTTGAGTCTATATCTAACACCGTTATTTCTTAGCGTTACAAACGGTAAGGCAAATTTAGTATACCCTTCGAACATACGTTCGTACGGGTATAATAATAAATTTAAATAAAAGGGCAAAAGGTGTGGAAAATTTTGGTCGATAGAAAAATAATTTAAAATTTTGTGTTTTTTAAAACGGGTAGAGGGCAATCTTCATTTACTTTCATAGACATTTCACTATCAGGCAATTTGAAAGAGGGTTGTGACGTAATACCTCCGCCCTTAAGATCGGATTCCGTGCGGATTTTGTTAAAAACAACATTTAGCTTAGGTTTTGAAGTGTTAAGGTGACATTTAAAATAAATAACCAAAAATAAAAATTATAATTAGAACTACTACTATGATACAATCGGTTTCAACACTCGGGTACCACTTTACTGTGTGAGAGTATTCCAATTGTTCTATTGTTTAAATGTTATTAATGTTTTTGAAGTATAAATCTTCTAAATTAAATTCATTTTTTACTTTTTCGATTGCAATGTCCCGTTCTATGTACGGTAATATTTTCATTGAATATTCTTTTTGTTAACCTTCATTTATAAAGTCATTGATAGCAACTTTGAAGTTTATGAACTTTACAATGTTATTGCCTTTTATTTTGAATTCGTTTTGCTGTTCACAGTTATTAATTAACACAGTATGTTCCAAATTTTTTCTTACGAAAGTGCCCGTGGTGGAATGAAGAGCTTTCAAGAGCAATACCACAAAGTTATTCAATAAGGCCAAGGCGTCGGATTCGTGGAAGGAGTATAAAGACTCACTCAAGAAATACAATAAAGAAATTAGGAAAGCGAAGAGAAGTTCGTGGAGAGCGTTCTGCAAGGGCATTGATGAACTCCCCAGCAGTGCACGTCTTTACAGTGTGATTTCCAAAAATTATTCTAGCGGGTTGGGCCTAATGGAACAGTCTGATGGCTCCACGACTAAGAACGGAAAGCAGACGTATTAGCTTATGGCCGCAACGCACTTTTCTGAGTCGGGGATTCAACGCACTTTCCAGAGGGCATCTTGGCCCGGGAGGGATGCCTGGCAACGATCCCGTTTAGTCTTTACGTTGAGCAGGATAAGATGGACTGTTTTCCCTTTCAGGCCCTTTAAATCTCCAGGTGATGACGGGATATATCCTGCGTTTTTGCAGAGGAGTTTCCAACATATAGCTAGAACACTATTGGAAATTTTTCGTGCCAGCTACGCGGGGTTACATCCCTCAGGCATGGTGGGTGGCTAAAGTGACGTTTATTCCGAAGGCAGGTAACCGACCAAGCAACTACCCAAGGTCTTTTCGTCCCGTTAGCTTTACTTCTTTTCTATTGAAAGCAATGGAAAAAGGGCAAATTTAAGAGCATTATTTCTGATCTTCCACAGCAAAATTTGCGTGTTGTGGGAAGGTGGTGCGAAGGCGTTGCAAATTCCCGAATTAGGTGCGAAATCCCTGCAAGAGCACTTTGGTTGCCTTCACCAGGCACAGAAACAGGAATAATTTAACAAGCCCAATTCTATTTGGTGAACGTATTACTTACTCTAGAGAGATGAGGTATCTGGGGGTAACCGTGGATGATCGCCTCTCCTGGAATACTCATATAGATAGAGTTATCGGGAGGGCTAGGGCGGCCTTGTGGTGGTAGGAGCTTCATCGGTGGGACCTGGTGAATCAGTCCCAGGATAGCACTGTGGCTATCCTGGGAATGACCGGCGCAATGCGGACGGCTCCTACCGTTCCGTCGGAGCTGATGATTAGGTTACCGCCACTGCACTGGCATCGGAGAACAGAGTCACGCTTCGTTTGGGTGCCGGGCCACAGTGGCCATGCAGACAACGAGGTTGCCCACGAAATGGTGCCGTCATGCGAAATTGTTTCTTTCGGCTAGCTCCAGCGGATTCACCGCAGAAGTGCTGGGAATGAACAGTAGCCGGGTTCGTGCTATTGCGGATTTCTCCACGGACACTGCCCAGTGAAGTACCACCTGCATAGGTTGGGGAGGTCGGGCTCCCCCCTGTGCAGATTTTGTGGAGGCGGTGATGAGACCGCCGTGCACATGCTTTGAGACTGTCCGGCACTTGCTGTCCGGCACCGGCATTGTCTTGGACGTGGGTTCCTAAGTGTTCCGGAACTTCTGTCCAACTTCTTTGGGAGTATCTCCGTCTTTATAGTTGGGACGGGGGATATTATAAGTGGGAGCGTGGGGACTACAATAAGTCAGGAATGGTTGCGGTGGTTCGGGGGTTGCTCCTGCCCCACTCGGTTACCTCGAAAATCTATTCTAATCTAATCTTATATGTTAAATCAGATTTTAGTGCTATTAGTATTTAAATTATTTGCAATAGATTGGATGATCTGGTATTATGGCTGTGCCTTTCGCTTACCCACTCTCGGTGTGTTTATAATAATGGTTCGGTTCAGTAGTCTGGGTATCTACATGCAGAGAATTTGTTCCAAATGAGATTTTAATGGTAAAATACCATTATGTTTTATATGTGGCAGATTTATATGGGGTCCAAAACCGCACTGTCACCTCCTAGTGGTGGGCCCGGTAATGGCGGTGGATAAAGAGGTGATTGAAACGATCAAAGTTACGTTCGTGTCGTGGTCATGTCTCGCGGGGAGCCTCTTACTTTGTGAGTTTCAGCTCTATATCTATACGTCAGCTGACGACAGGCGTCCCAAGTCAAGGTGAAACAGCATATGCCGATGACAGCGTGGCTTAGGGGGAACTTGGTCGTTAGTATGCGGACTCTGGATACCAGACGCCCTCCAGTTCAAACGAGTCTTCCCATGGTATGCCGGGCTCTGTTATGGGCGACTTTACTTTCCCGCGCTATTCGTGGGAC